GTTTGCCTCTTACTTGGTTGTTCTCTAACTTAGATGGTCATCTGTACTATCTAAGTACATGCAATATGTATTGGTGCTGTGGACGATTTGGCAAGGAGGTTTAGTGAGGTCCCAGACTTTTCACATGAACAAGTCAAAAATAGTTTATTTCTTTCCCCATTTTATCCATTTGTATTTGGACTTGTCACAGTGTAAAAAAACATAACCCAAGGCTATATAGATGGATCTTCTACCTAATATCCGGATGCTCCTTAAAAGTATATCTACAAAGACTCAGACATACCCAGATAATGCTGTTCTTTGTCATTTGGATCAAAGGCAAATGCATGATCGAAACAAGTCTGATTTTAAAATATAAAAGTCAGTCAAGGACACCTGCAGATTGGGGAGGGGGGAGGGTTAGGCATGTTGGTGTTGTGTTTGTCCATCGATTTCGATGAAGACCTTGACATCTTATGGATTATGGGCCATCAGCGGTGTGTCCGTAGATGGCTGATGAGACCAATAGAATCGGTTGAAAGGTGCTTCATTTAATTCAGGGGTCCTCAAGCTTTGCTGGCTGAGGAATTCTGGGAGTTGAAGTCCACAAGTCTTAGTTGCCAAGGTTGAGGACTCCTGATTTAATTGGACCAGCTAGGGATTGCCTTCTGCCTCAGAGGAGCCTCTGGCAGTACAGTGATTGATTATGTGCCATCCAGTCATTTTCAACTCCTAGTGACTAAATAGATAGATTTTTCTCCATGATCTGGCAGTAGAATGGGTATATATTTGGCTGATATTTCCCTTATGCTTCTGTGAGTACTTTAACTCTTGTAAAAAATAACAGCCTAGTTCTGAATCCTAAAAGAACCTCTTAGCTTTGACTGGCCACTGCTAGCAAGACATAGTGTATAGACACACTATAAATAAATTATGTCAATTCAAAAAAAGCTAAATATGTTAATTTTTGCTTTCCTAACCCTACTTCACATGCACAATAGTTAGCCCAAGATTTTCCCTGTGATTGGAACAGGCAGTCTTTATTCCATAGCAACCAGCTTGTTGAAATAGCAGGTGAAGTCTACAGGCTGTGCTTTCGCCCCATGCTGATGGATAAATGGAATGAATCTCAGCTTCTATTTATAACAACACATCAGAACTGCACTTACAGTTTAAACAAAGATGAAGAAATACACAAGTCCAAAGCAGCACTGTAATTTTCCCACTTTACTGTCCAAGGAAAGAATGGAGATGAATCAGAGATATAATGACAATGCAAACTATGACGGTGTACTTTTGTTTATTTCAACAAAGCTAAGACATGTGCATGATTTTGCAGTGAGGCTGTAGGGACTGACTCCTGGATTGTTGTCTGGGAATTTCCCTTGATTTTGATGTTTTTGTTTTACATGGCATTTTGCATGATCTACTATACACTGTGTGATGCTTTATATTAAGGAATGGCTTGATGATATGTTGTCAATTAGGAAACAAGGGGGAGGCATGATATATGTTCAAACAAAGTAACTTAGATAAGGGGCTGAAGATCAAGATTGCAAACATCTGGACAGATGAAGCCATGGGCAATATCATGAAATGGACTATCATGAGGGCCTCTGATACAGTTGGACCCAAGACTTCTTCCCTTTACATCTAGGTACCTTTAATAAGATTATGTGAAGGATGTTTCCTAAAAGGAAGGTAGGTTGCATAATTTGTGTGAAGTGATCTTGAGATAAGAGAGTAGATCAATCTGGAACAGAAAAAGTCTAACTGAAGTAAGTGCCAGTAGGAAATTCCAATTCCAAGGATGTGGTTAAATTGCTTGGATAACAAGAAAATACAACAAGACTTTGTAAAGTAGAGTGACACTGAGAGGTTCTTCAACACTGTCCTAATGTAAAATCTTGTATAGCTATCTCATGCTTCCTACATCTGGTATCCGGTCTTCTTGACAGACCAGAGGAAATTAAAACACAGCATTACAGAATCATGGATCTTAGCAATCCACTTAAAACATATCAAAGCTGGTAAGATCATTCATCCAATGTTTTATTGGAGTGTTTAGAAGAGAGGAACCCTGGATAGATGCTCTGACTCAGGAATGAATGCAGTATTGCAGGCTAACTCTGCCCTCTACCAGGTGTTTGATCCTGACTGATTCAAGGTTGACTCAACCTTCCATTCTTCCAAGGTCGGTAAAATGAGGGTCCAGATTATTGCGGGCAATATGTTGACTCTGTAAACCACTTAGGGTTGTAAAGCAATTATGGAGCGGTATATAAATCTAAGTGTTATTGCTATCTGATAAATTACTCATAAATTTAAAGGTATGCAGAACGGTTTTTTGTAAGAGAGTTCTTTGACCATCCAGGCTTGTTTATTCATTTATGGGAAGCAGTTGATTTGTTGAGTTGTCCATTGTAATGGCAAATTATGTAATCAGCACAGCAATTAATAAACCTTTGGGATTATTAGGCTCAAAAATAATGAAGGTTTTCTGAGTGTATAATCGAGCATGGGGAATATTCCTGTGATCTATCAGGAAAACACCTTTGGGAATGAAAGAGAAGTAATGTGGCTAAAAGAGAAGCCATCTTATGAAGAGACTGCTACCGCACTGGGAAACATATCCCACTCAAAGCAAAATATTATCATGCTTTAAGACGGCATAAATACCGGTAGTTACTCTCTTTTCTATTTTCTACTCTCCTTTTAATATTTCCATTAGAAATAATGTCATGTTTGGTATTACTGACGCTGCAGAATGTAGAGAAAAATAGAACATTGCTTTGAGGTTGGTCAGATTAAGTAGGTCTATACCAGGGGTAGGCAACCTTGACTCTTTTATGACTCGTGGACTTCAACTCCCAGAATTCCTGAGCCAGCATGGCTGGCTCAGGAATTCTGGGAGCTGAAGTCCACGAGTCATAAAAGAACCAAGGTTGCCTACCCCTGGTCTATATTGTACAATACGCCATGTTACTTATCATTACATTGAACATAAGACCTTCCATGTTGGATCAGGTTGAGACTCATCTTAGTACAGCATCTCTTTCCCACAGTCGCCAAAGATATCTACCATGCGTGTAAGCAAGAGGTATGGACGCCTCCTTTCCCTCTCCTTGTTTTCCTGCATCTGGAATTTGGAGGTATCTTTGCTTCCAATCCAGGGGATACACTGAGTCTTCAGGTCGAGCAGCACTTCTTGGTCTGTTCATCCAAAGTTTATCCAAGTGCATTTGACAAGCATCCAAGTTAATGGCCAGAACCTTCCCTTGTGGCAATGAATTCCAGAGATTAATTTTGCACTGTGTGAAAAAATGCTTTGTCTCTTTTAAATGTCCTCCCAGACAGCTTTAAGATTCTGACAGAAAAAAAATCTTCACGACCACTTTCCCTATGCTATGCATGATTTTTTAATGTTTCAATCATATGTTCCCCCTCCAACTGTCTTATTGTTAAGATAGAAAATCCCTGGCATTCTAATCTCTTTTTCCTAAGGAAAATGTTCAAACTGGCTAGTAGCTCTCTTCTGTACTTTCCCCCCAGCTTTTCCACATGTGGCCATCAGAACCAGTGTTCCAGATGTGGACTTTCCCCTATTGGAGGGGCATTACAATGTTGGCATTTTAATTTGTCATGCCCTTTCCTAAAGATCTCCAGCATGGAATTCACTTTTTTTTTCACAATTTGTTCCTTTCCTTATGTATCCCAGGGAAAGGATACACCCCTAGCATTAGTATATAGTTTGTTAAACTGTGGCTTGTGGGGGAAAAAAAATCCCAATGGCTGAGTTCACACAACCCACCAAGCCCAAACCAATCATATTAGGGCTCAGCAGACTGCAAACCCTGTCCATGCCTCAACTGCCATATTGGGCGGGGTGCTTTACCCTATTTCTTGTTGAAATAAGAAGGACCGATCATCCTCCCGGGGAGGGGGGAATGGGAAACACTGGCCAGGTAAGGAAGCACCTGGATCCTTTCCACCATCTTAGTGGCAGGTTGAAGACCTACACGGGTTCCTCCTTTGAGCAGGTCTCTGAAAGGAGGGAGCAGAAAGCCGGGAAATGCGGTAGAGGAGCGCAGCCTTCCTCCGCCTGCTCGTTCCTTACAAGTGTGGGAAGAGTGATGCCCTGAGGAGGAGGAGGAGGAGGAGGAGGGAAAGGCGTTCGTCATCGGTCCCGCTGTCCTTTCGCCCAGCCGCTCGTAGAAGAGGGAGGACGAGGCCGGCGAGGCAATCGGAGGCGTTCTTGGATGGTCGCTTCCCTTCCGCAGCTGTTTGGTAATAGCCTATCTCCTTCCTTCCTTCCTTCCTTCCTTCCTTCCTTCCTTCCTTCCTTCCCCATTCGATTCCAGGGGATCAGGAGGCTGAAGCTGCACCATATATAGCCAGGGCTGCCTGCTTTATTGATTGACTTGCATTTCCAGCATCTCCCCCGCCCCCTTTGGCGCTGCAGCGGCGGCAGCACCAGCACCAGCAGCAGCCCGGAGAGGGAAAGGGAGAGGGAGAGCAGGTGGACAGTTGAGAGAGAGAGAGAGAGACTGCGGAGAAGCTGCCCTGGAGACATGGCGGACCGAGGCCTCTGAATAAGCAAAAATTGAGCGCGGGGGGGGTGGGGAGGGCAACGAAACAGGCTCCCTCCCGATTTCTCCTTTTCCTCCTTCCCCAGCGCAATTATGCTGTCCCGATGTGGAGCGGCCGAAGGACAAACGGCGCAGCAGCTTTGGGGAGCCTTGGACTCCTTCCCCTCGCATCTACTTCTTCATCTTGCATCCCACCCTCTCCCTTGGCCTTAAGCTGAGGTAGCTGGCTGCTTCCCAACAACATCCAGGGCGAATTGCTGTCCGTCCCTCCATCCCTCCATCCTGTGGCTGCCTCCCTCCCTCCCTCGCCCTCCCTTCCACTTCTTCCCATCTGTCTCCATCCTTCTTTCTTCCTCTCATTCTCTATCTCTTTCTCCTGTTCCTCCCCTCCCCCCACCTCCTCCCTGGCTGCCACCGCCGTCCTCCAAAGCCATGGCTGCAGAAAAGATCTTGGAGACTGTGGATCACTATAAATCTGAGATTGAGCGCTTGACCAAAGAACTGACAGAGACCACCCATGAAAAGATCCAGGCGGCTGAATATGGGCTGGTGGTCTTGGAAGAGAAGCTGACCCTTAAACAGCAGTATGATGAGCTAGAAGCTGAATATGATGTCCTCAAACAGGAGCTGGAGCAGCTGAGAGAGGTGAGTTGGGAAACCGGCTGATCTCATTCTTCATTTCCCCCATCTCAATATGGTACCATCTTTTTTGTTTTCTGTCTTGATTCCTGGCATATGCCATGTATGCTTAAAAAAGAAAGGGAAGGAAAATACCCACCAGATCTCCTTGCTTCGTGATATTTTCTGAACTATTTCATCTAAAAAGAAGTGTATTGTAGGCCAAATGTTTTGAATCTGGATCTATAAATGTAGGATAAGACTGAAATGGCAGTGATTCAAGTGATACAGGGACCAGCACTGGTCAACAAAGAAGCTTAAAAGTTATTAGGGATCTGATATTTTAAATGTATTACTGATCAAAATATGGCAATACATGCTATGTATAGACACGACTTTTGGGTTTTTTTTATATTTGAGGGTAAACATGCATATTGCACTGAATAGCTAGGTTCATATTAAGAAAAAAAACATTTAAAAAGAAACATGAACATCTTTACATTTTTTTTAAAAACTAGCAATTCTTTATTACATTTGTTTACATCCTTTTATAATTTACCTGTCAATGGGATCCATCATAGGCATCCATTTCTGTCTAGAAAGATATATTTGATCTGGGTCAATCAGGTTTGCCTAAAAAGAAACTGATACGTATCTAATCTGTGCATGTCACTGAGCAATCTGTATTTTTTCTTTGCATATTATTGAAGAGATACAAGCAAAGATTTATAATCTCATAATGCAGATTGCAGATAGGTATTTATGGTAAATTAATCAAATCGTGAATTCTAAATTCATATTTATGTCCATATATTATATTTTACAAATAATAGAAACCTAAAGGTGAATTCTGATATGCACTAGTATGGGAATAAGTATAACTCAATGAATCTATGTATGTATGTACTCAATTTTGACAGAAATGCCCATAGAAAACATCAGTGGTAACTGAAATGGCTGGATTCTTCCCTGTGAATATTTACTTATTTAACTGACTTTTTTAAATCTTGCCTTTATTACTTTATAAGTAATTCAAGGCAGTGAACATACATATTTCTCCTTCCTCCTTCTATTTTCTCCACAAGAACAAAACAACCCTCTGAGGTGGGCTTGGTTGAGAGAGAGTGACCAACCTGAAGTCACCTAGTCTGGCTAAGGCAGGACTAGAATCAGTGGTGGGATTCAGCCAGTTCGCACCAGTTTGGCAGAACCGATAGTTAATTTTTTGTTGCCCAGGCCCAGAATGGACTTCCGGAAGCGGCATCCACACAGAGAACTAGTTGTTCACATATTTGAATCCCACCACTGACTAGAACTCACAGTCTCCTGGTTTGTAGGCCGGTGCCTTCACCATTACTCCAAACTGGCAACATTCTTTGGTATGTGGACGTGAGTGAAAATTTGACCTTGTTCCCCCAAACCTTCTGGGTCCTGGCTCTAAAGTTTAGTAGAAATTTCTGTTTATGTCAGATATGTTGGATTACAACTCTCATAATTCCCACTGAAGATAGTGAACTTATTGAAGAAAGCTGACTATTGCTGATAGGAACAGAAATTCACCCCACAGGGCTGTGGTAGGGAAAAATAGAAGGAGGAAAGCACATTAGTCATGTTCACTGCCTTTGACTTCTTTATAAAAAGTAATAAAGGTGGGATTAAATAAAATCTTTAAAAACCTAATATAAATCCATGCAATGAGATCAGCTAGATGACAACATCAATCGTATGGACTGATCTTGAACATTTAGCGGGATTGGATTGGATTAGTACTTGATTTGGACACCACCTGGAAATACTAAGATTATAGGTGAAACTGGAAGTTGGAAAACATTTTGCACATGATCAGTGGAAATGACTTCTCCACCATGGCCAGGAAAGCTACATGGATTGTCCGTAAAGTCATCATCAGTTGAGTTAGACTTGAAGGAGACTTTATGAAATAAAAGTGACATAGATGTTAGTTGCTAAAGTGAAATGATATCAAAGGACGGGGGTGGGGGGGAGGTTGCACAATTGCTGGCAGTGTGTAGTCTGGATGAGAAAAGGATGAGAGTGTAAGATAAGTCCTACCATTAGGCATATGATAGCTCCAGGGAAAAGCAAGGCATTGCTGAGTAGCTCATCAGAAGCAAGAGAATGACTAGGCAGGTTGGCATGGAGAAGGATGACATATACCGTATTGATAAACCAGGAGGTGAAGAAAAAGGAAGATCATTTCCAGTGGCAACCTGAATATGTGAGTAATGAAGAAAATTCTCATTGCGTGGAAAAAAGGTAAATCCAATGTGTTCACTGTTGGTGTACAATATCCTGTCTTTAGTGATATATAGTTCATTTTCATTCATAAAAAATCATCACAGTGATGCTTGGATGCTGTTATATAAAGAGGTCTCATTGGTCTTTTATTTTAGAAATGGCAGTGGTGATTTTATAATTTTACATATAATTCTCAGCATTTTCATAAAATAGTATAGGTAGTCCCCGACTTATGACCACAATTAAGCCCAGTTATTAAGTGAAAGTTGCCCCGTTTTACAAACTTTCTTCCCGCAGTTGTTAAATGAATCATTGCGATTGTTAAGCTAGCAATACAGTTGTTAAGTGAATCTGGCTTCCCCATTGACTTTGCTTATCAAAAGTCACAAAAGGGGATCACATGTCCCCCTTTTATGAAACCTTTGTATTGTAAATATGAGTCAGTTGCCAAGCATCTGAATTTTGATCATGTTACCATGGGGATGCTGCAATTGTCGTAAATGTAAAAGTGAAAAATGTCACTTTTTTCCATGCCATTGTAACTTGGTCACTACCTGTAATTTCTGATATTAAAATCCATTGTAACAAAATAATGTATATAAATACGATAGATCAACTAGCGTTTTGCTTAAGACATGCCCACAATAAGGAGACATGCATTGGTTGAATGCAAAGTGTAAAAGAAAAGTTAGCGAGCCTATTTTGTAAAGTGATACTTATATTTCTTCTAAAATATTTTCTCTAAACATGACTGCATTGCTTAAAAACAAAATAAAGTGTTTTCTTCATGTCTTTGTGTAAATATCATGCAGATATTTTTAGATTTGCTCAGCTGATTTGATTAAAGCCCTTAAGATTTCTTTAACTGATAGCCTGATTTATATGCACAAAAAACAACAATGTGCTATTTTTTAGTTTAACTGATTGTGCTAAAAAATTAACTGGTCTGAAATACAACCAAGTAAAATGGGATTGAATTAATAGCTTGATAAACCTTATCAGTTTTGGAAGTAATCTTCTAATTGGATTTACCCTGTGATAATCCAGTCTTAGCATTGCATTTATACAATGTACAGTATGTATTATAGAGATACACAAACCTTGTAAAAACTGCAGAGAGAACTTGCACGGCTTATTAGTTTTCTGCTGCTCATAGGTTTTCTATTGGGTGAAGTACTTCTGAATATATAAAGCAAAGGTGTCTAACCTTGGCGACTTTAAGAATTGTGGACGTCAACTCCCAGAATTCCCCAGCCAGCCATGCTCCTGAGTGACTATCTTTGCATGTGTATGCTTGCACAGCCACTTTGCACCCTGCAGAGGCATCTGGAAGTAATTTAAGAAGCAGCTGCATTAACCAGAAAAAAAAAGATACAGCTTATTTTTATTGGTGTGAAATAATTCTGGTACTGTTGCCATAAGTTTGTCTGCTTATTTATTTATTAATAGATAAGTTTTGTAAGACTGCCCAATTCAAACAATGAGGCTCTGGGTGGTGCCTTTCTTGGATAATCCTCTCTTCACCTGCTGCATTCTTGTGTCTATTTATTTGTATACTTACAGTCCATCACAAGCATTCTGGGGCCTTCTTGGATCTCTTTCTTCCTCTAGGCTGCATTCTTCAGCCCCAGTGAATTCAGCAGGAGTTCATTTTGTATAGAAACATCTGCAGTAGGTCTGTAGATGTTTTAGCTTTCTGGGAAGAGCAGAGCAAAGGGCTGCTGTGTCAGCATCTATGTCATTCATAGAGGGATAGAGAGCGGTTGATTTTATTGGGTACACCGTGGCTTGCTGATTGAGCCTCGACACAATGAACTCCCGTTGTTGGTTACCATTTAGCCTTGGTGCAATGAAGTCCTCAACTTTTTTGCCACTCTTTTTTTTTAATTGACATCTGACTCATCAGTGCCAACGCACTAGTGCCATACCAATGTTGTGATAGAATTTTAATCTTATATCATACACATATACACACATGTATATATTATTTACATACTTATGCATACACATACACACATACATACACACAAAGACACATATACACACTCTACACAGATTGATTGATTGATTGATTGATTGATTGATTCATTCATTCATTCTTAGACCTTTAGGGATTATATTTAGGCAAATTTCTTAATAAAAGATGAATGAAGGAAGCATTCACTTTAGCCTGCATAGAAAGTTAAACTTCAGTTAACCTCAAGGATAGATACTTACTCCCTAAACCCCAATTTCTGTTAGAAATGATTAAGCAGAGAGAATGTAGAAGTATCTTGTTGTGATAAGGAATACCCAAGATGTGCATATGTTCTAAATGTAAAACCGCCAAGCTATGTATTTCAACCTATACTGCATATTAGCCGGCTAATGCATTTCTCTCTCTCTCTCTCTCTCTCTCTCTCTCTCTCTCTCTCTCTCTCTCTCTCTCCCTCCCTCCCTCCCTCCCTCCCTCCCTCCCTCCACACACACACAGACGCACAAACACAAGCAAACACACACAAGCACATATAAACATACAGACAAATTTTTCATTATTCAGGGCACTTTGAGGGATTGTGCTTCAAATCATCATGTAATGAAATTTATAATATTCTGCCACACTCAGACCAAAAGATAATTTTGAAGCAACACTGCTGGTTACCAGAACAGAACAAGGGTATGACTGTAGGAAAATACCGTACAACATCTAATTCTAGAAGTTAGGTCAGGTTAAGACCACACCAATAAAAAAAAACATGAAAACATAAATGCATCCAAATAGCTTGGGATGA